AGTGTACGTAGTTCCAAAAAAGGACGGAGCCAAGCAAAAGCAGTTCCAACTGGGTGGCATTGTACCAACTACAGGGCAAAGACGGAGGCTCTAACACATGCAGCAAACATCATCAGGGATGTGGTACACCCTCAAAGCCACGTAGTATTCTTAACAGATGCCATGTCAGTACTGCAGGAAATCGCTACCGGCAAACTACGTAGAAATACGAGTATTAATTGAGGTCATCCCGTGCCTGAGGATCGTTCTCCAGTGGATCCCATCGCAAAGCTGAAACAGGTGAAGAAGTTTAAATATTTTTCTTGACAGCACTATTTTTTCTAAAAACGGGCCCATAGACAAAGAAATAGAAATGCGAACTCAAAAGCTTTTAAAAAGCCAACGCCATCATCTACCCTATCGCACCCCCTTTTATCCCAAGCAAATATCTCCATGGACACAATGTCTCAACCTTAGGAATTCATAATTTTCCCGTTTTTAATACTCTCAATGGAGAATCTCGGACCGGTAGATCTAGACCTATTCTTATTCATTAAAATTTTGTCAATTTTATTATCTTGACAAATCTGTTCTTGCTTTCTAAAGATATCATTATAACAACAGAAATATAAAACAAACAAAACGATAAAAGAAAACAATGTCAAAGTCAAAGAATCAACAAACACCAAGAGACTTAAATTATCATATATATATAGATCTATGTTATGCCTGATAGAAGAGACCAGGCTCAAATAAGAGTCAATGACAAAGGTTGTGATCTCGGGTTTCACTACTGTATTATAATAAAATAAGATCCACCTTCGTGAAACACAACACTGTCACAAACTCATCTAAATCTAGAGATCTAGATCTAGATCTAGATCTAGATCTAGATCTAGAATCTAGATCTAGATCTAGAATCTAGATCTAGATCTAGATCTAGAATCTATATCTAGGCCCTAGATCTAGATTCTAGAAGCACACTGCTCTGACTTTGTAAACATTTACATAAATTATCGAAAGCTAGGCTAGGTTGAAGAGCTTTCAACACATGAGAACAACTTAAGCACAACAGTGTAGAGTGTAGGCATACCTGAGCCTGGCTAAACAGAAGAAGGGATCACAACACGATTGTTCGATGACCTTTTTGCTTTCAAATGATTGATTACCTTTGGCCTCTGACACAGTGATGAAGGTCGGGTAGAAGTGCACCCGATCTCGATCTCTGTCAAAGCCTGACGCTGTAGAAAAAGTGACGGTTGCTGCACACTGCACACAAGAACTTTCGCCTACCCGAGCACACAGCACAACATGACTCCACCCGCTTGCTTGCTACCCGCACGACGCCAGTAGTTGTCGTAACACTCAGTAATCAGTAACACAGTCACGGATCGGGACAGTGATACCCCCCACCGCGGTGGTCCCCTCTTCACGCTCACTTCTCTCCCTTTAAATAACGAATGCCTTCTTCGAGACGACAAGCTCTAAGCTTTGTCTTCTATTCAAAAAGACCCTTATGCCGTATCTTATCCTTGTCTAGCAATGTTCGAACTCGGTGTGAAAACGAAACGCGTTTTAGACCTGCAGGTTAGCTCGCCGCACAAGCTGAACTGTAGGCCTATGTTATGTGGAAGTCTGCATTAACCCCGCCAGCCCTACTTTTTGAAATGGTTATAAAACCATCCTATTATCATACCGCGCCTACGTAGCCTAGGTGGAAATCCTGTTGATATTTCCAGCATAACCGCGCCCGCTCACCAAGACGATCGACCTTCGCCGTTTCGCTGAACCGACAGCCTGGGGGAGGGGAAGGGGGCTGAGGGGGTGGAGAGAGAGGGAGAGAGAGAGAGAGAGAG